ATTCGGAGGCCGATCGACTCGCAGGTGAACATGCTGTGACTGCCCACCGAATCCATGTGGATGCACAGGCTGCCCGTGAACAGGGACAGAACACCGAAGAGCCACATCCTTCTTAAAGCTAAATCCACAATGTGCCCCATGCTTGAATGGCAGAACACAGCGGGACAGGACTGAGAGGCCAAACGCGAGCACAAGGGTTTATTCTCTACGCCGAAACCACAGTGTGTAAGGTATACCGCTACGAGCGACCGCTTCCATCTCCTTCCTGTTCGGTCCTCACGGATACCTGATGTTGACCGGCGTCTCGGGTCAGTGCACGCTTTGATCAGACCCTTCGACAGTCTTATGCATCCTCTCACATTCATACAAGTCTACAGAATCTGCCTTTGATCAGGGTGGTCTTCAACGGATCAATGGATTTAGGATGTGGCTACGACTGATACTGGATACCTGTAACGACACATATTAAAAGACAAGTTTAAAACAAGGGTATTTGTAAAATACAGACACCACCAGACTCATCCGAAGCCAGTGTGCAATAAACAAATTAGCTATTTTGACTGGTTAACTTCATTAGTTTTGTGTCTGGCAAAGCCTAGCTTGTAAACAGTTACTGTAGCAGCAGGAAAGAGCATTTAAACAGCTGTTATAACAGCCGTAAACCAAAACCAACAATCCATTATCTAGGTGAACCTCACAAAACCTGTCAAGAACATGCCGGGTCATATTTTAGCCCCAAGATCAACAGAAAAAAAAAAAACGATATTTTATTTTGAACAGAAAAAATCTAGCCTATTTTAAACCCCTTAAAATTGTATTTATTGTGAAAATTGCATTAGTGCACCAAAAAAAAAAAAAATGCATTAGTGCATATCATATGTAAAGCATTAAATAATAATAAAATTCTAAAAAACAAATGTATACATTATGGTAGTATCTGTTTTACTTAATTTGATTAAAAATCATTGCGTCCAGACTTTCATTTCTGTATTATTGTAATGAGAACAAGATTTTCTTGTGTTATTGTAAATTCTGGGGAGAAATGTGCTTAATTGTCATGAAAATAATGTTTCAAAAGTGTAATGTAAAAACAAATCTCACTGTACATACTTCATTTTTATTATGCAAAATATAATTTAAGATTTTTTAATACCAAGCTGAAATATGACCTTTCTTCACAAATTAACCAACACTGGATTCATATGCATCAAATCAAATTATATATTTGATGCATTTCTGTTTTAAATGCGCAAATGAATCCAATGTTGATTAATACACACACACACACAGTGAGATAAACTATTAATTAGTCATTATAATATGGGCAGTGAGTAAATAATATGATACATTTTTCACATATCACCTCACTCAGCCCTTCTCAATCCCGATTGTGTTCAATCTGAATTAACAGAAGCCAGTGTAAACATATCCCATCCCCCTTACAACACGTTTGTGCGAGTCTACAAGCACACAACCTGCTCCAACTAGCTAGGAAACACAGTAACCAGACATTTCAAATCTGAATAAAGTCTTCAGGAATTGTCTAATGCGAAAACACAGTAATAGACATGATTATATATATTGATTTCATTATAGGGTGTAGCACACCTACGCGCACCTTGCATTGCATTACACATATCAAATATTCCGAATATTCGGATATTACATGCAGGACTGCAATGTCAGCAATGTAACACATATGATGGGGCTCCTCATGTCTGAACATTATTCAACACGCAATTCCAGACATGGATAGCAGACCATATGTATGGTTATATGAAAAAAAGGATAAAAACACATTTATGTGGGTTAAAACTTGTGAACGGTGCGTGCAATATTATGCAAGTAGAACTTTACCTTTCTGTGGCAGAGCTCCTCTGGTTTTCTCTCT